TTAGGAGCTCTCTGGAGATTTTATAGCTCGTTGCCTAATCACAGATTACTACTACTTAAAAAGAAAAAAAAAGTCCTCATCATACATAGTGCCTCTTTATTTGTTAAAACTTGATTGGGGGTTTTGCTTATGTCTAAGAGACTGTGTTGGAGTTCAGGGGCAATGGAAGAAGTAGAAGTTTTAATTCTGATATGGTCACCCTTGAATCTTTCCTCAGTGACAGCAGGAGTCTTATTTTCTTCTCAAAATACATCGATGATTTGGACAAAGGAACTATCTTATGCTCAGATAAATCTATAGAAAATGAAAGTTGTATGTATGCTGCTCTTAAACAAAATAGTTTCTTTAAGGTTTTATTACAGAGAATTCCGAATCTACCCAAAAGTAATCACCCAGCCTGCTCATCAATACCTGGTCATTCAGGCTCCACACATCACCATCCACTTAGCACCTCCCTCAATCCTACATTATTTGAATTCCAGACATCACACCAGCTCATCTACAAAGAGTTCAGTGTGTAATTCTGAAAAACTAGGCTTTTTTGGGAAACATAGCCACAATACCATTATCCTATCTAAAAAAGGAATTAATAATTAAATTATTTATCCAGTCAGCGTTAAAAAAAAAAATACAACATTTTCATGTTGATTAACTAAATGTAAGTTGGAATTAGGCTGTAAAACATACATAGTTTTATAATGTGCTCTAAATAATTACCTTTTCATATTTCAGTATATGAACTTCTATCATCCCCTCATGTGCTGATTTCGGAGGAAATAAACATACAGTTAAATGGTCATCTTGTTATGTGTCTATGTTTAATTCCCTATTTATCAAGATTCCTCTAGCTATTGATGCCGGATGTCAAAAATACCATATAGCAAAATCTACCCCTTAGACACAAGCTGAATTACATTATGATTATTAGCCACTAGATGCCACAGTTGCTTCACACAAATGAAATCAAGTGGGCCTTGCTCTGTCAAGAAAAAATGATAACATTCTAAATATTAGAGTAAAATACTAAATCAAGAGTGTCAGTACCAGCCTAAATTTGCCTGCACCCTGCAGCACCAGCGCATGCTGAACCATATATTTAAATATTTACCTTTAACTTTCATACCTGAGCAAACTATGATATCCATCCTTTTAAAAGCATCTGTGTCTTTTTCTGTGATTTTGAAGTTGTTGCTAATTCTTTCCAATTAGTTCAGTCACTCAGTGTGGTACCTTCATAGAAGTCTGCTGAATGGCTGTCTATAATGTGTTCAACTTGATTTCGGGATGGTTGAAATTATTAACAGATTGAGAGAGGACAGGGAATCAGTTTCACACTTTTTTTTTTTCTGGAAAATACCATAATCTTAAGAAGCTTTTGTTGCTATTGTTTTCCTCAAAATCTGCCGAGCTGCTTCATAGAGATTTTATCAGGCGATTCACAAGTATACCTATTGAAACATTCTTGTTTAGGTAAGAACAGCAATCCTATCAGACATACTCGGCCAGCAATATTAGAATTACCTACACTTCTGTATGCTTTGTTCCAACAATGTATTCAGATCTGGCTATGTTTTAGTTTAGTATACATTTAGTATGTTTAATTTTATTCCATGATAAAAAGTTTCCATACAAATTTGTCACTTAACACCCCTCTTGTCCAAATACAGTTTTTTAAAAGTTTGTTCTAGAATGTATTACTTTATTTTTTGTTTTAATAAAAAACTTAGTCCTTGGTGGAAATTTCCCAGAAAATTATCTACCTGAAAACTCATGTATCTTCAAAATTAAAGTGGGTATGAGAAAATTACTGCACTGACCTTGGGAAATACCAGATAAATTATATATTTAGGGGAATATAGAGGAATCTCAATAAGTATGACATTAAACTCTTAGGAAAAACTTTCTCAACACTTCTACTTACTACAAATGAGGAAGAGGTGCAGACACTGTGTGGGAATAAGTCATGGAGGTCACCTCAATAATGCTTTAAACGCTTTCCCTGATTCTACCCTTGTCTCTTGCTGGCTTTTTCTTCCTATCCGGAGCTGGAATGGTCCCTGTAAAACATAAATAAATAAAAACCATACCACTGCTCTACTCTACCTTCATTGTCACTCAGAACAAAAGACCAAGCCTTCACAAATGTCTGTAAGGCTCAAAATACCCAGTGGGGTAAACACTAGTTACATGAGTCTATTGAACATTTGCAATGTAGCTAGTCTGAACTGAGATGTGCTATAATGTGTAAAATACACAGTGGATTTGGAAAACTTAGTACTGATAAAAAGAATGTGAATTTTCTCAGTAATTTTATGTTATAAAATTATATCATTATTTATATATTATATATAGTTGCAATGATAATATTCTGGATATATTGAATTGAATAAAATGTTATTTAAATTAATTTCACCTCTTTTTTAAATGTATCTATAAGAAAAAAGTCAAATTGCATGTCTTACATTTCTGGCTCACATTCTAATTCTGTTGGATAGCACTAGCCTAAATGACCAGCAAGTCACTAGCTCCTTCCAATTTCCAACCCACATTGGCCTCTTTGTTGTTCCTCAGTATAACCATGTATATCTCAAGCCTTTGGGTTGGCTATTCTCTTCTCCTAGAAAATCTTCCCTCAGATTTTTTTTTTTAAATATTTATTTGAGAGAGCGAGAGAGCGCAAGAGAGCACACGAGAGAGGGCGAGAGAGTGGGAGGTGGGGAGAAGGGCAAAGGAAGAGGGACAAGCAGACCTCTCCTGAGCAGGGAGCCCCACACAGGGCTTCATTCCAGGACCCCGGAATAATGACCTGAGCCTAAGGCAGATGCCTACCTGACTGAGCCACCTAGGCGCGCTTCCCTCAGATATCTTTATTGTTAGTTTCCTCACTTTTTTCTGTTCTGTGCTAAAATTATCAGAAAGAACTTCTTACCAATCAATCTAAGATGGCCTTACCCAACACTTGTATATACCCTCTATTTTTTCAAAACCTGTATCACCTAGCATATTATATGTATTTGTGTGTGTGTATGTGTAATCTCTCCTTAGTAGAATAACCCCCATGATGTCAAGGACTGTGTTTTGTTTATTGCTGTTTCTCTAGAATAGTGCTTGGCTTTTGGTAGATACTAAGTAAGTGTTAAATAAATCAGAGGATAAATATCATTAAAAATAAGTAGAGTGTTATCTAAGGGATTTTATCATGAAGGTTTGGAAAATGAGAAGAATTAACATTTCCTGATGGCCTACAATGAACCAGACACTGTGCTAAGCACTTATATATAATATCTTACTAAATCCTCACAGAAATGTATTTGCAGATTAGAAATCTAAAGCTCAATTTAAATAATTTTCCCAAGGCCACTTAGCCAGTGTGGAACATCATTTCAATACTTTTCATTTTATTTCAACGTCTCCAAGTACCTTCCCTGAATCCCAGAATAAATTAGATGCTCTTGTAAATACTAAGTATTTTCCCTTCATATCATATGTCACCACTGTAATTCATTGTGTGATGTGGTGCTTATTGTCTTTCTTCCCCACTGCACTATAAACTTCATGATAGGTGGCAGTGAATATCTTGTTGATATTTCCATGTCCAGAGACTTCCACCCTCATGCTTAATCTCTAGTACATGTTTATTGAATACATGAATAAAGTTAACTTTATCTCAAAATATTGTAACAGTTGATGAGTGGGTTATTTGTGGCCAGTGAGAATTAATGATTTTGTAGATCTACTAAAAGAATGGCACCCATTAGAATGAAGCCCTGTTGGATATTTCAGGGGAGAGTATGCTAGCGTGTAGGTGTTCTTTACACTTGACCATAGGTAATAGTGCTCCATGTTGTGAATTTCCTCTGGAAGTGTGTTGTCCAACATGGCAGACACATGGGGCTACTTAAATAAAAATTAATTAAAATGGAATAAAATTGAAAATTCATTCCCTTAATTATATTAGCCACATTTCAAGCACCAACAGTCATACGTGGCTAGTGGCTGCCTTAAAGGAGAGACAGATAAATAAAATTTCCATTATAGGGAGAGTTCTATTGAGCAGCACTATTCTAGAAAGTTAAAAAAGATTCCTAGGAGGATATATTTTCAAATCAGAAGGAGATTGTCCAATTAGTTTTGTATTCTAACTAAAGTGAAACTTTGAGAAAGAGCCCAATAATCTGTATTCCCAAGTGTTTCTGGGCAAGACGGAGACATGGAAAAGCGGCTTCATTGTCTACTGGATGAAACATTTAGTCAGACGTGCTCATGCACGGCCAGTGGCTGGTGTGGAAAGAACCACTCCTCCAAGGGCCCTGGGCAGGCCCTACTGTTCCAGGGATGCTGCCAGCACCTGGCTGGATTGAGCCCTCTGCCTAATGCTACTCAGTACCATCCCTTTGCGTTTGATGCACAAAACAGAAGACTGAAATTTGAAGAGGAAAGAGTTTGGAAGGCCAAATGCACCTCAAAGTATTAGTTAGATTCACAACTTCTAGAGAGAAAGTTTTTTAAATGTCCCCTTCCTCAAAATGTTACACATCTTCAGGTAATTTCTTCCTAATGTCACTTTCTGTAATTTTGGCCAATACAATTTAACTTTCTTTGAGATTCTGTCGCTGCAGGTATTTTCCCCTAATTGGACACATAAAACATTTCCTGTCATTGCCTTAGAAAATAAAACTGTTTATAGGCAAGAATGAATATTATATTTTCTATTTTATTTTCTGATTAAGGTCACTTATGGGGGGGGGTAAGAATTGTCTTAAATTGAATCTTCAGGGTATTGGCTCTATAATTTGTTCACATTTCTCCATCATCTGCCAGTCCTACTGATTCAGTCTTGACCAAGACTGAAAATAGTTCAGGATTCTCACTTTTAGACAACAGACCAGTAGGAGAGCTGAGGCGGGGACCAGTAGGCAGCCCCACACTTCCCAGCTCAACAGGTGGAGAACATGGGATTTTTTTTTGTTGTTGTTCTTTGGGATTGAGCCCCCACTCACCGTGTTCTGTCAGAGGAAGTATTTCCAGTGCCTCTGAGATTTTCTTAGCAGAAGACACCGAGTGAAAGGGGTGCTTCTGCGTACGCCTGGAGAGGGGTGGTGAAGGATGCAGGTGGGACCGGGAAGTTAGAAAGGTTGGGAGGTGGGGCGCTAGGATGGGACAAATGGTTTCCCGAGCCGTGAGCGGGACACGGAGCAGAGAGCGGAGACTCAGAGTAGCAGCGGTGGGAGCAACGCGGAAAAGACCGCAAACGCGAAGAGCACCGCAAACGAGAAGAGCGGAGCGCGCCCGGACCTGGGCGGGGCAGAGTGGGGAAGGGTTACGCCGGGACGTAACCGGCTGTGGGCCGGGGGAGGCGAGCGGGGCGGGAGTTGCGGGCGCCTGCCGGGGGCTCGGGGACCCGAGCTCCGCCGATGAGGTCAGTGGAGCCGACGCGCCGGGAGGAGGGCAGCGGAGCCCGCGGACGCGGGGGTTGCGAGGCCGGCAGAGGGGCGGGACGGGACGGGAAATGGGACGGAGAGCTAGGGCCGTGGGAGGAGGGACGAGGGGGCGTCGGCGCTGGAAGCCGGAGGCGGCCCGACCGGGATCGTTTCCTTCCGGAGAGGAGGCCGGCTCTGGACCCAGGCGCGGACGGGGGGCGTCCAAGGGCGGGTGACGGGGAAATAGCGCGGCTCGCGCTTCTCCCGGGCTGGCAGCGGGGCTGCTTGTGGCTCCTCCTCGGGGCCAGTCCCGAGCCGGGCGGCGGGGGGAGCGGGAGGCGGAGAGCGAGGGCGGGGGCTCGGGAAGGAGGGAGGAGGGAGGGACCAGGCGCGCCAGTGACAGGGTGGCAGCCTAGGAGCGGACGCGTTGCCGCCGCTGCCGCTCCACCTCCTCCTCCTCCTGCAGCTCCTCTCGCTGCTGCCGCCGCCACCGCCGGGAGAAGTTTCACTCCCGACCCTCGCTCGGAGCGAGGACCCAGAGCGGAGCGGGGAGCGCGGCCGGCAGCTGCAACCCGCAGTGGGCCAGGCGCCCGGAGCGCTCTGACCCGGAGCCGGCGTCGGCGCCTCGGCGGCGGGCAGCGGCCCGAGCTGGGGGCGCTGAGGCGGAGGAGGGGCGGGTGTGAGCCGAGGGACCCGCGCGCAGCGCCACAGCCGCTCAGCTAGCGTCCGCGCCGGGGGCAGTCGCGATGGCCGTGCGCTCCCGCCGCCCATGGATGAGCGTGGCACTGGGGCTGGTGCTAGGCTTCACCGCCGCGTCCTGGCTCATCGCCCCTAGAGTGGCCGAGCTGAGCGAGAGGAAGAGACGCGGCTCCAGCCTCTGCTCCTACTACGGCCGCTCGGCCGCTGGCCCCGGCGCTGGCGCGCAGCAGCCGCTCCCCGAACCTCAGCCCCGGCCGCGGCTGGAGCATTCGCCGCCCCCCGCGCGCCAGGAGCTCCAGGGGCCGCCGCCGCTGGCAGAGGCAGCGCCCGGGGTAACCAGTTTTCGGAGCAGCCCCTGGCAACAGCCACCCCCGCTGCAGCAGCGGCGACGAGGACGCGAGCCCGAAGGCGCAACGGGGCTGCCAGGCGCCCCCGTGGCAGAAGGGGAGCCCGAGGAGGAGGACGGGGGCGCGGTTGGGCAGCGCAGAAGCGGCCGGCCGGGGAGCAGCCACAACGGCAGCGGGGACGGGGGCGCCGCCGCCCCGAGCTCCCGACCCCGGGATTTCCTGTACGTGGGAGTGATGACCGCGCAGAAGTACCTGGGCAGCCGCGCGCTAGCGGCGCAGCGGACCTGGGCGCGCTTCATCCCCGGCCGCGTGGAGTTTTTTTCCAGTCAGCAGTCCCCCAACGCCGGGATAAGCCAGCCCCCGCCACCCCTGCCTGTCATCGCGCTACCGGGGGTGGACGACTCCTACCCTCCCCAGAAAAAGTCCTTCATGATGATCAAGTACATGCACGACCACTACCTGGACAAGTATGAGTGGTTTATGCGCGCCGACGACGACGTCTACATCAAAGGTGACCTCCCAGCGCCGGCTGTCCTGCCTGCCCACCCCTGCTCCTGCCCCCCACCCCCCGCCTTCTCTGCAACTAGCCCTAATCCCTGCCCAGCCCCTCTCTGCTTCTCTGCCAGCACTTGCTCAGGGCTTCTGCAGCCCCCACCCCGCCGTCCCCACCCTTAGCATCCGCCCACCACTCCTAGTCCGCTCCTCCTCTTCTCCTGCGGTCTGGACCCTCCTCACACCTGACCGGCTTTATTCTCCTTCCTCACTCTTGCTGTTCTCGTTTCCGCCCAGAGCTTGCCCCTACTCTTTACTGTGTGGGAACGGCGAGGAAAGGGGCTTGAGGCTTAACTGAAGGCTATTCCTACTCTGCCCTGCTCTGAAAGCCCCAGGTGGTGGTAGTTTCCCACATCTATCCAGAGGGGCGTGTCCTCAGGGAAGGAAGGGAAGACCGAGGAAGCGGGCGAGAGCCGGTCTGGAGATGGGTTGTTCTAGCTTTCTTCCACAATCGTTTTGTTGTAATTGGATCTAACGCAGTTTCGGAACTGGTGAGATTGAGGAAACATTTTCGCTGTTCCGTACAGTTCCCTGTGCGTTTCCTTCCCTCTCTCACGACCCACCACGCACTGGGAGTCCTTGAGCACCCCCACACCGCTCCAGCGCTCACCTCCTTCCAGCCACTAGTGTTGCAGCATCAGGTCGGCCCTTAACGCCCCGCCCGTCACACCTCTGTAAAACCCGGAGCGGATGAGTGTATTTTTAGGAATTGGTGGTGGAGAAGAAGGGGACCTCGCCCTGAATTATCCAGACCCCAGGAGCTCCAAGCTGTAGACACTAGTGTGGATCCTTTCCAGTCTATTTTGGTGGCTGCGGCGATAAGCAGAGCCTGGAAGTCCTTCCCAAAACCACGCGCAGCCACAGCAGGAGAAAACTTTGTCAGTTTTAAAAGAGGCGCGGTCCTTCACCCTGAGTGTGGGTGGCTCTGGCCAGAGATTTCTAAACTCAGCAGAGAAAAGTTCCTAAGAGCGGGAGTAAATCTTTCCAGTCCCGCCCGTCGCGGATATGGAGACGGATTGGTCAAAGGGGGGCAGCTCTTCCTAGTGTATACCTCTCTCCTTGTAGCCTCGTTGCTTTCTCCTGATGCAGGTAGTCTTTCACCTGATTCAAGGAGAAACAAACAAGATCCGTCCCATTTTGGCTCAGGGAGTGAGTGTAGAGTAATAACTAGAGATTTCTTGGGGTTAGAGTGGTTAGGTAGAGTGAAATCATTCCATTGATAATTCGATACAAAAATAGATGATTGCATATCTGATGAATACACTATCTTTAGATTGAAAATGTATAGATATCTATACCTGTAAGTGATCGCTTATCTTATAGTCCCTTTGTCTTCTGTGTCTCACTAAAATCACAAAGGTTTCCTCACAGAAGTTTGCCACACTTTGCAGAGAATTTCTAAAATGCATTAATAGCATCTATTTCTGTCATTTCTCTTAATGCATTGAAAGACTGTCGTTCAGCACATTGAAGTGCTATAGTCTTCCCATTTCTATTAAGAATGAATATGCATTTTGTATTAAGAACCCAGTAATAGTCAGCCGAAACTCGTTGAGATCCAAGGGGCAAGGCATGGGATCAAGATAAATGACTGCAGCTGCCCAGCTCATCAAAACAATGATAGTAAAGATTCTGACTGGGAATATAAAGAAGGTGACTACCTCACTGTATCACTTTGTAGAATATCTAATGTGTTCATACTCTTTTAGCTACAGAATTTTACCTTTAAATCGTTTTTCTTGATGAACTCACGTACTATCAGGAAATCAGTTACTTAATTTTTTAAGAAATATTTATTTTTTTCTGAAAAGGTGCTTTCTAAAGTTAAATTCCAAGACGACTTTAATATCCTCTCTTTCTCAACTTTTGGGTTGTATGTGACTGTTTAGTAATGTGAAGTTTAGTTAAGGACAAAACACAACTAAATTATCAGGAAAAATATTTATTGAGTATCAACAGTCTGCCAATCAATGCTAAATATAACTTATTTTCTGAAAATGTTATCATTACTTCAAACATGCTAATAAATTTGTCATTATTCTCCTTATTATCTCACCTTTTACAAAAAAAAGTCTAATGATTGTTAGACTTCTTAAGGCTTTTCAGTGATCTTGACTAGAAGGTTGATAACATTTTATTATGATTTAATTAGTAACTGAAAATTAGTAGTTTTAAAATAATAGAATATTCAGAGAGGTTTTTCTTCCTTTCAGTTGTATTATGACTTTGGGGGAGTTTGCACCCAATGTTGGAAGGTCTTTCCCTTACTTTGTATGTTCTAAATAATTACGAAATTAGCAAGAGGAGTGATTGTTGCCTTTCTCTTTGTAGGTGATAAGTTAGAAGAGTTTCTTCGATCACTGAATAGCAGTAAACCTCTCTACCTGGGTCAGACTGGCCTGGGGAATATTGAAGAACTTGGAAAATTGGGGCTGGAGCCTGGAGAGAACTTCTGTATGGGAGGACCTGGCATGATCTTCAGTCGAGAGGTTCTCAGGAGAATGGTGCCACATATTGGTGAATGCCTCAGAGAAATGTACACAACTCATGAGGACGTTGAAGTAGGAAGATGTGTTCGACGCTTTGGTGGGACTCAGTGCGTCTGGTCTTACGAGGTAAGATAGTCTGTGATGAAAATGTTCACATATTACAGGTGCGTGCAAATTTATAGCCTGGGGCAGTGATTTTGTTTATTCTCTCAACATCTTTTTATTTGCTTGAAAATGATAGAAGCAACCAGGTATGGACACAAGGGTGATTGTGGGAGGTAACTTTCTTCACAAAACTGAGGCCTGTTGGAGGTTTTTTTTATTAGCATGACCCTTAGCTTTAAGCAGCAGCCCGTTTATCCAGTCACGTCTCTGGAAGATGCTATTTCCCCTCTGTTTGCTTTATTGGTGTTTATATACATGCTTATCCATTTCCTGTCTCTAACAAGAGGACTAATTGTATTCTCTTGGGTTGTTGCTTTTAACATTTGGTACTTGGTTAGTTGTTGCTGTTGTTGTTTTGGTTAGGTATATAAGTGCATCTCTTTGTTTCCAAATAGTTAAAATCTAAAGTTTCTTGGAAGATTTTCATTTGGAAATTTAGCATGTTATTTTTTTAAAGCATAGGAAGAATTAACTCATAATGTATCATTTATGATAGATTTATTTACAAAATAAAGGGAATTAGTTACCTGGGAAAACAGAAGTAGTTATGAAGATGTTAAGTAACTATTTAAATTATGATTGATTGCTTAAAATTGGTCTCTGTCTTCTCTTATTCCATTTCCTGAAAAGCAGCCATTACTTACATAATCTGAGTTACGAACTGTTCTTTTATTGTGATAGTTTTATGAAACACTCTGGGATTTTTTTTTCCTTCAGAAATTTGTTTTGAAATGAAATACAATTTTATTTAAAATAGTTTTCCTAAAAGATAATCTTAGTAAAAATTGGATTTAACATTTAAATAGTGTATTGCACTTTTCAGAAGTTTGGTTTTCAAGTGTTTGGGGTTTGATACACTTCAGCTATCCATTGCACACATTTGTAAATTATAACGTAACTCATTTATTTATCTTTTCAAATTTTTCATGTCTCCTGGTACAGAAGAAAAATGAAAATATGTCCCTTGTAAAGTCATGATACCTCAAGATTACACAGTCCTAATCATTCTTCTTTTGGAAGTGTAATCCCACTTTAGTTAATTTTGTTTTGTTTTTTATACTTTGTAGTATTTACACTTTGGGGGAATATTTCTTCTATCTATTACAGAAAGTAAAAATTATCAGTAACCATTTATTTGGAGTATGTATTATGCAGATTTAAAATTATTATATACCTCATTCCTTTTGATAATAAAATAGTAATTTGTCTTTTGTTAAACTATGACTACCCTATAGAATAAAAATTTATGCAAGAACATTATAGTTAAAAATAGGTATTTTAGAATAACAAACATATTTGTGTTTCTCTATTTAATATAAAACTAACTGCAAGGCAAAAAATAAATAGTACAGAAAACACAAAAAAAAATAGTACAGAAAACACATTAGGTTGTTTATATGAAGATATTATTTTGGAGACATTGGCTCTGTGTGGGTAAGTAAACAAAATTAACCATATTTAAAAATAAAGATGGAAATTTATTATGTTTTATTTGGTACTATATTGCCTTAACATCACATAGAAAGTTTTAACCTTTTGTTTAAATCCTTCTCTTCAAGTCTTCACCTAGTTGTGTACTCATTTATGTTCCAAGAGAGTAAAATATGCTCAGTAACCTACATGCAGAAGAATTGATTTAGTATTTATTTTCATTATAGGCTTTTGTTCTGATTAAAGTGAGGGGAATTCTCATAGATGTGCACACTCTGTATTAATATGAGTGGAGTCTTAGATCTTACCATAAACTGACATAAAAGAACAGACAAACCAAGGGATTCCAAACCTTACAAGATGTAACTTCATGATCACAGTATTTTCATTAAATTTTCAAAATACATTTGAGTTTAGACTCATACTAGGGTATCACTGACTTCACAATCTATATGAAGGAAATCATTTCTACCTTTTTCCCCTAGCAATAGAAAATATTATTTTCTGAAGTTGTGCTGTTGACTTTCTTATGCTAAACAATTGTATACAATTTACTTTGTTTTGGAAGTTCAGTTTTTAAGGAGTATTTAAACAGTATTTATTTTAGAGGAGGCATTTGGTAATACAAGGTCTCAAAGTCTTATTTAAAGGAATGATGGGAGCTTTGCACAGTGGCAGTATCGTAGCCAATGAGGTTTATGCGAGGCGCAATCATTGCTGATTAAAGGAATGATGGAAAATTTCATTAGCAAGGGACATATTAAACAGCATCTTTCAATAAATTCAGTAAAGATAAATATACAATAGAGTTATAATTTAAGCATTTTAATATTAGGATGTTGTTCTCTGTTTTATGAGATACTTGGTTAGGTCAATTGGATCACAGCCAAAGTAGGATTTTCCAGTTTGGATTTTAGGTTAGTTCAAATGATGTCCATTCTATACTACTTTCACATTATATGGAAAAAAGTAATCTATTCCTCTGTGCATTGGCATCCTCAGTAAAGGTCAGAGATTTTACATCTGGTCGTACAACAAGCTATGAAACCGATCCTTAACTTTGTTTTCATACTTCTTTTGAAAGAACTCTCTGTGATGGAATTCTCTTAAAATCTTGAATTTCCTTTATCTATACCTTTCATGGATTTCAGGATTCTGTTTGGCTTTTCCTCTAGTAAAAATTCTAGCAGAGTTAAGAGCACTGTTCATGATTTTTGAGTTTGAATATATGAAACATTCATGATGGAACTTACCTTTTAAAAATGATAAATAGACTTGCAGATCTTTCAGGAAGAGAATTGGACAAATATATTAAACTATATAGACTAGGTAGCTTTTCTTTATTATAAATTATTGTTTTGATTTTTTTTAAAGACTTTATTTATTTGAGAGAGAGAATGAGATAGAAAGAGAGCATGAGAGGGGGAGGGTCAGAGGGAGAAGCAGACTCCATGCTGAGCAGGGAGCCCGATGCGGGACTCGATCCCGGGACTCCAGGATCATGACCTGAGCCGAAGGCAGTCACCTAACCAACTGAGCCACCCAGGCGCCCCATAAATTATTGTTTTTATAAGACCTAGAAATCTCCTAGAATTCTTTACTGCTTGTGAAAGTGTACTTTCTTTGTATATACAATTAAGCATAATTGGGAAAGAGAGAGGGTAAACTTAAACCTGGGTTTGAGTTCTATTGTCTTTTGTAATTGAGCCTTGTTTAATTAAGCTGAAACTGGATATTATAACAGTGTCTACCACATACTTTTTGAAGAAGTTTAAGTGAATTGGTGAAATGATCTATGTAAAGCCCTTAATATAGTGTTTGGCGGGGCGCCTGGGTGGCTCAGTTGGTGGAGCGACTGCCTTCGGCTCGGGTCATGATCCTGGAGTCCCGGGATCGAGTCCCACATCGGGCTCCCTGCTCAGCAGGGAGTCTGCTTCTCCCTCTGACCCTCCCCCCTCTCATGTGCTCTCTCTCTGTCTCTCTCTCTCATTAAAAAAAATATATATATAGTGTTTGGCACATAGTATATTGTCAATAATTGTTGCTGAATAGATCATGTACTATATTAAATATAACAAGGATTCATCCATATTTTACTTCATTTAGTAACTATTAGTAATGAGTGATTTGTCTATATCAAAAGAGGCAAACTAAAAATAAGCTGAATTCTTTTCAGTTAAAGAATCCAAGTTTAAGTTTTTTTGGCATAGAACGAGAAACTTTTATGTTTTGGTATTGTTGGGTATTGAATCAAATGTCAGTAGAACTTATTATAAAACATGGAGGTCTGTATGTTTAAACGATGCATTACAAACATTTGCTTCTGTCTTTGAACACCATATTAATAGCTTATCCTAAGGAGATAGTGTGGAAAATATTAACAAGTGATTATGTAATATACATGTTTAAGGAATACCAAACAAATCAGACTCTATATTAAAAAAATTACTGCATAGATTTCTAGATCAGTTGGCAGAACAGTAGCCCCCTTTTCTGAGTTTCTCTGGAATTTTTAGTAGGAAAGGAAGTTAGTAGTATCTCATCCTGCAGTCATCTTATATGAATACCCAGGAACTTGTCTCTCAAGTAACTGGAACCTCTTTCTGATGTTGCTCACTTTTTTGGGAAATAATGGATAGCTTCACTTCCTTCCCAGGGTAAGGTCCTGGTGGTCTGGGACAATATGCCTTGCCTGTGAGTTTCTTACTTTGTTTCTCTGTCATCTCCTCCCCTTGTACTTTTTTCCTTCTATATTTAATGATAAATAAAATAGATTACAAATGCGTTTTAATAGACACTGCTTTTCATCAAGTTCTCAGTAAATTAACATGCTTATGACAGGCCAGTCCCAATATTGCAAGAGTTCACAGGATGTGTGCCCAGATCACATTTAGGGCCCAGGAATCACTTGACCTCTTCTGAGTTAAGAGGCCTTTGGTTGCTGGTGAGCCTCAGATGGACTGGTTCTCTGTGTGCCTGAGACCATTGGGCAGTCAGAATTAGGATTCTCCCTTTGCTACTTCGAGGTAGAAACATCTAGATTCTAAGGACATATGGAAGATGTTAATCAACACACTTGATGGGTTGCTTTTGTATTCATTTATACCTCAAATTGTATAAGTAAAGATTACTAACTGAAGCATGTTCGTGAAAAATCATTCTATTTTATTCGCTCTATGAGTGTGAGAATTTATTGGCATCTACTGACTTTTTTGGTAGAGCTTTGTCTTGGCTACTATTTTCCTAGTTATCTGAGCTACAATCTGGCAGCTTGGGAGGCTGCATATGGCTCTTAAACATCGTTTGGCTCAGAGTGTTTTAAAGTTTTCTGTTTTTGTTTTTTGATGCCTTTAGCCGAGGCCAGCAGTCTTCAGTCCCCTTCATGTCCTATTTCGAACACCAAGCTCTCCTTGCATGTTTATTGTAACTGCCTGGCCCAGGTATACATAAGAGTCCTGATATTTTGAGCCAGATAACCCACATGTTGAAATTTTTATTAAAATATTCTCTAGAAAATGAACTAATTTTCT